GAGAGAGACACAGAGAGAGACACAGAGAGACACAGAGAGAGAGAGACACAGAGAGAGAGACGAAGAGAGAGGGAGAGAGAGACAGAGTGTGTTTGTGTGTGAGAGACAGAGAGAGTATGTGTGTGTGTGTGAGAGAGAGAGAGAGAGTGTGTGTGTGAGTGAGAGAGAGGGTTGTGAGACTGTGTGTGTGTGAGAGAGAGGGGGTGTGTGAGTGAGAGAGTGAGTGAGAGAAAGACAGAAACAGAGAGACAGAGTGTGTGTGTGAGAGAGAGAGAGAGAGAGAGAGACAGACAGAGCGCGAGAGAGACAGACAGAGAGAGGACACGGGAGAGAAGAGAGGGTTGTGAGACTGTGTGTGTGTGAGAGAGAGGGGGTGTGTGAGTGAGAGAGTGAGTGAGAGAAAGACAGAAACAGAGAGACAGTGTGTGTGTGTGTGAGAGAGAGAGACAGAGAGAGAATGTGTATGTGTGTGTGAGAGAGAATGAGAGAGAGAGTGTGTGAGAGAGACAGAGAGAGACAGAGAGTGTGTTTGTGTGAGAGAGAGACAGAGTGAGAGAGTGTGTGTGAGAGAGACAGAGTGTGTGTGTGTGTGTGTGTGTGTGTGTGTGAGAGAGAGAGAGAGAGAGAGAGAGAGAGGGTGTGTGAGACTCTGTGTGTGAGTGTGAGTGTGTGAGAGTGTGTGAGAGAGAGGGAGTGAGTGTGAGAGAGTGTGTGTGTGAGAGAGTGTGTGTGTGTGTGTGTGTGTGTTCTTCCTGTCCTTCCACCATGTGAGTCCAACAAGGGGCATCAAGCACCCTTACCAGCTGAGCCATCTCACCAGCCCCCCTCTTTTTTTCTGGATTATGAAACAGGGTGGAACTCACTGTACAGCCCAGGCTTACTGTAAAGTCACAGTGACCCTTCTGCACCCAGTTCCTGTCCTCCTCCAGGCCCTGGGACCTGGGATCAAACCCAGCCCTCTCCCCACTCATTCTGGAAAGACTTCAGGGATGTCAGTAGGGTGCAACATTGGAGCCAGAACCCAGAGGCTCTGCTTTGTTGAGTAGGTTCTCTGGAGATACTACCCATGTTTCCATGGAAAACCTTATAGGCTTCTTAGTTTTGTTTTTCAAGACAGGGTTTCTGTGTGTGGCCCTGGCTGTTCTGGAACTCACTATTTAGACCAGACTGGCCTGGAACTCAGAGAGCTACCTGCCTCCAGAGAGCTGGGATTAATGGTGTAAAGTACCAGTGCCAGCCAGTCTTTCCTTTTTTTTTTTTTTTTTTTTTTTTTTTTTTTTTTTTTTTGTGCCCTCACCCGGAGGAATATTCTCATTAATCATGCCAACATCATTTCTAAGTAGTAACTCAGCCAGGGATGACCAACCTGTCACTCCCAGGCCAAGGCACCCTCAGCTACACAGGCAAGTCCAGGGAAGCCTGAGCTACATAAGATTCCATTTAAACTAAACAAACAATCAAAACAAACAACAATTAACTTTTCAGCAGGTTAAAATGCCAGCACGTTGGAAGCTGAAGCAGGAGGATCTCTGGGAGTTTGAGGCTGGCCTTGGTTACAGCATACCCAGCCAGACCCATTACCAAACAAGAAATGTGTGTAAGAAACATGTTTGGGTATTTCTGGAAAAGGGTACTCATTCTGAGGGGAGGGCAGGACAGGCTAACTTGGTTGATGTCAGGGCATATGGGTGTCAGTTTGACAGCATGTTATAAACTAAAAAACAAAAACAAAAACAAAACAAACTCAGTACTCTGTGGATTTCATGAAATCTCATACCAAGGAAGTAAATCGACACTGTGTTACTTCCTCTGGGAAGGACTTGGCTCTGGTAGCCAACAGCTGCTCTCACAGGTGGCAGCACAGTGTTCTTGCATCCGCCCTATTTCCAGAATTAGTGTCTGCATTCTAGCCTGGGTCTAGGTGGACCTCTTCGGCAGCCAGAGCTATTCAAGATGAGTAAATTTAAAAATTAAATGTCCTGGTGCTGACGCCAGGAACTGACACAGCTGCACTGCCTTGGTCTCAGGCTTCCTCTGGCCCTGCAGGGAGCGTTGGGGAAATTCCCTGGAACCTTCTGGAAGCAACTAGGGAGGTGGCAACTGGGGTGGGGGTGGGGAGCAAGGCTGCAGGGACCAACAGCAGTGCTTTTGACTGGAAGCCAGGACAGAGGATCCCTGTGGGCTGGGCTAGGGGTGGGACTTTGACCATTTAAGCACTCAGCCCTTAGCATTTTAAATTTTAAAGCTCAATTTAGTCATTCAAGCAGTTAGAAATCAAATGATAATAAAGTAAAACTGAGGGCCACCGAGATGGTTTATCGGGTAGAGATGCTTGCTGCTAAGCCTGATGACCTGAGCTCCAACCTTAAGACCCCCTTGATGGAAAGAGAAAACCCCACTTCTGAAAGTTGTCCTCTGACTGTTACAGGCACACACACACACACACACACACACACACACACAGACACATGTACACACATGTACACACACAAAAAAAAATTTTAAAATAAATTTTAAAAATTGTATAGATTTTTAAAGCAAAAAAGTTTAAAAATTAAAATTAATGGGATTACATGTGTCAAATCAACAGAGGTTTTGGGGTTTGTTGGGGTTTTTTGGTTGTTGTTGTTGTTGTTTTTCTTTACAATGTCTTATTACGGTAGCCTAGAACTTGAGTGTACAAATTCTAGCAGGAACATATATAGTCTAATTCTCTGTTGAATTGCAGCAGTTAAAAATCCAGAAGCAGCTCACACACTTGGGTCTTTATCCATTGTCCCCCAGGATGGGTGTGGGTGAAGACTGCTTCGGTGTTCTTGGAAGCAATGGTGGATGGAGTGGCTGAATTTGGCCACCAGAGTAGGTCTCTCCATCTCAAACCTGAGCTGTAGCTCCCTCATCTGTGGAAATGGTAACTGTCACCTAGATGTCACATGTCACAAGCTGGGGGTAGGGCCTAGGGGATCCACAGATAAGGAGGCTGGAGCTCACAAAGCAGGAGAAACTGACAAGCTGTGTGACACAGTGGACTGGCCAGGCGGGAGACACTCTGCAGAGTCCTGTGGAAATGCCAGCCTGCGTCTCCACACCCTGAGGTTCCATGGGAATTCAACCATAAGGCTGTGTGTGCACAAAAAGATGGACTCAGGTCCATCCCTGGTGTATGTGGCAGGTGGAGGTCTACTCAAGTCCCTTGTATGTTAATTATCTGACCACATAAGGGTCTCTCTGTGACTTCACGTGAACACATGTGGAAACCAAATAGGTCCACATCAAAGTCAGAGTATCTGAGTCAGCTATGGCTGTGTAACAAGTGAGCCCAAGTTACCTTGCCTCAAAGTGCCTTTGCCAACCATCACCATCTCCCCTCCCAGAGTTGAAAATAGAAAGTAACTGCCAAGCCCCCGACTGTGTCTAGGTGGCAGGAACTGGGACACAAGCCTATCACCATGTGTGTGCCAAGCCTGTGGCTTCTCCACCTATTCACCATGACTTTGGCCAGCCTGGCTACTTCAGGAGATGAAGCTCATCCTGTCCCATCCACTCTACCCTTGCCACATCCTATATACCTTGTGCAACCCCACAGCCATTCCTTGCTATGGCCCAGAAACTCTGAGGTACTCACCTACTCCTTCCTGGTTCCACTGGGCTACTGAGCAGTCAGCCCGAGTGCAGGTTCTGTTACAGGCACCAAGAATCTTTTTCAACTCTAGAATAAGAGACATTGCTAATCAATAGCTGCTCTCTACCTAGCCAGGAGGCTGGCAGCCCCCCCCACCTGCTGCTCTGTGCAGACATCACAAATCAATGGCATGGGGGATTCCCTAAGCATGCACACAGGCTCTAGGGTCAGAAGCTTATACAGGCCCCCATTTCTTGACTTAGTTTGCAGCCATTTAAAACTTTTACTCTTGGAAGTAGATGGTTCAGCAGTTGAAAACACTGGCTGCTCGTCCAGTGAACCTGGGTTCAGTTCTCAGCACCCACATGGCAGCTCACACCATCTGTGACTCCAGTTCCAGATCTGAAACTCTCACAGACAGACATGCAGGCAAAACATCAATGCACATAAAATAAAAATAAATCCTTAAAAAACATTCTATTCTCCTGGGCATGTGGGTTCAGGCGCTTGGGATGCAGAAGGATTGCTTGTATGGGAGGCCTGCATCACCACCTCAGCTCCATTTTTCTTGTTTGGCCTACACATTGAGGACAGTGTCCCTCTGTTCCCTGGCTCCTGGGACTCTATCTTCTCTGGATCCTACCACTCATTGAACCTTCCTAGTCCCTCGTCCTCTGCCGTCTTCAAAGGCTTTGTGAACTTCCGGGAGCTCCTGAGTGAACTCCAGATCAACTCTCTGGTACCAGGTACAAACTGCCTCTCTCTCATCTTCCTGAGAACCACAATATCCTCCTGAGAATCTCATTCCAGTGCCCCCCTCCAGGGAATCCCATCACTGTCTGCCCAGGGTCCCTCTAGTCCTGTGCAAGCATCTACTGGACATGACGGGCTGAGCGAAGCTCCCCTGAACTACAGCTGGGGACTCACCACCATCAATTCTCTGCAGAAGGAGGCCCTGGATGACGTCCCTGCAGACACCCTCAGTGGCCAGGATGTCCCCATCCACCTCAGGCTGTTCCTAGGACCACAGTCAGGAGCTTGGCTGGATGCAGGACCTATGTGCTCCCCAGCCAGATCTGCTGGAACACTCTTGTTTCCCTCTCTGTAACACGGACTTGCCTCCGCACGGTCCCACACACCATAGCATGTGCAACAGTGTCAGAAATGGGCTAAGGCCCACCCAGCCATCCTACCTCCCAAGCATCTCAGCTGAGACCTCGCCACAGTTACTTCCTCTGAAGAGTCCTGTTAGCATCTAGTCACATCCATACTTGCTGGGCCTGACTTTAAGGTGGCCAGAGGCTGGGTCCTCCCTACCCACACCCTTTCTTCCCTCAACCCCAACCTCATTTGCCTCCTCTCTGGTCCTTAACACACAATGCCAGTCGTCTGTGGGCCCCCCCCCACACACACACCGCCAGGACCTTTGCATAGTCTATTCTCCCATATAAACCTAGATCCATGGAGGCCACACATGCTCAGCACAGCTAGGATAGAACTCTGTAGTGTGTGTGGTCAGCAAGCATTAGGGATGAACCAAGATGCAAAGGGCACTGTGGAAGCCCAGAAGACCCCCCCAGGGGGCCCAGTCTGGGGAGCAGAGGTAGGATCTAGTTCTCCAAGCAGCTTCAAGAAGACACTGTCCCATCCCCCACCCCAAGCAGATGTCTCAAGTGTCTGCTCACCAAGTTATAGCTCACCCCAAGCTCGTTCCACACAAAGGGCCAGAAGATATCCAGTAGCCAGTCCCGGGTGAACCTCCATCGAGTGGTCTCACTGTCTGAAGTGAACTTCTGCAGGGGATACAGCCAGCCTGTTGCAGCGGCCTTCAGTACTCCAGCTGGGGCCCTCCCACCCACCTCACCTTCAGCACAAGGCCCCTGACTTTCTCCAGCTGCTCAGCTGCCTGGCCACAGTCCAGAGTTGATGTCAGACACTGGTCCGCCAGCTGCAGGAAGGTGGTGACTGCATCTGCCATGAGCTGTGAAGGAGGTGCCCAGATGACCCCACACCCAGGACCACTGATCTGGCTCAGATGCTCTCCCAGAAGCCTGGGTCAGGCCCCTGCCCCCTGGGCTGTAGTCTCAGGAAAGATGGGCAGCCTCCCTGGGGAGTGCTCCTGTGCTATAAAGTGAACAAGTTTGCCAGGTACCAATGGGTTACCTCAGGCTGTTCCTACTTCATTCCCTGTGCCATGACAGGGCTCTATCACTGCCTTCAAAACACAGCTTTCTTTTCGTTTTACATAGGTCTTCGCATAACCTCCACTGGCCTCAAACTCACTGTGCACTGAGGATGACCCTGGTACCCTGATCCTCCTGCCTCCACCTCCCAAGTGCTGGGCCAGGCTGGCACCGCCACACCCGCATCTGGGTCAAGGTTTCCAGCCTCCTCCACTCAGGCCTTTTTAGACAGAACTCCTAACAGGAGACAGCTTTCTAAACCTTGAGTCTGTCCATGCTCACAGAGGCTCCCTACTACCCTCCGCAGACTCACTCTCTCCAGGCTCTGCCTGCCTACCAGCGGGGCCGTTCCTTCCCATAAGCGCACACTGTCTTCCTCTGCCAGGGTTACCAGGGTTACCCAATGCACACTTCCCATTCCCTCTCCTCACCTGTTGTGCGACATCTTGGACCCCAAACACCAGGCTCCGCATTCCCAGGAAGCCAAAGGGTTCTGCCAGCTGGGCCAGGTGGTTGCGGTTTCTCTCTGCCTCCCGATAGCAGATTTGCATCAGCTCTGGATCCCAAGGTATTTCCCCAAATTCATAAACCTACATACGAATACCAGTCAGATGAGAAGGCACCCTTGGCTTATGATACAGGTAGGCCAAGGGGGCATGCCACCGACGGCCCACGTGCTAACCTCCCTGCGCAGCCGAGTGCCTGAAGGGTTCTTTCGCAGGTGGTGAGACAGCCGGTCCATGCCCCGGATGAGGAGGGTCCGAACAGCTCCGAGCATGGCTTCCACGGGGCTCAGCAGCGCGAGGGTCAGCTGGGACAGTTGCGGGTCCACCATGCGGCACAGGCACGCCTCCAGAGCGTCCCGGATCTCAACTGAGGGAAATGTGGACCTGGAGTTTTCTCCACCAGTCACTCAGTGGATGCCTAGGAGCAGGGACCTCAACCTGGCCAGCTTAATACCCATTTTACAGCTGAGGAAACTGAGGCTAAGTAGCATCAGTGAGACCTGATCCAAGGGCACAGACAGAGGAAGCAGGAGGTGATTCAAACCCGAGTCTTGATAACTGGGCCACAGAACACATCCTGCAAGGCCACCACCACCTGTGCCTCCCTACCTGACCCACAACTCAACAGGCCTGGGTCTCTCCAGGCTTCAGGCCCCGCCCTCTCATACCACGCCCTTCTCCGGGCTAGGATCCAGTGTCAGACCCTAATCCTCAGTGTTTCCCTTTCCCAAGCCTATCCTCCAGGCCTCGCCCCGCGCCGATTAGGCC